TTCTGTTGTCCAATTTTGGTGAGCCTGTGCGAATTGTAGCCTCCATTTTCTGTTCTTAGCTGACAGGAGTGGCACCCATTGTGGTCTTCTGCTGCTGCTGTAGCCCATCTGCTTCAAGGTTTGACATGTTGTGCATTCAGAGATGGTATTCTGCATACCTTGGTTGTAATGAGTGGTTATTTGAGTTACTGTTACCTATCATCTAAGACCAGTCTGCCCATTCTTCTCTGACCTCTGACATCAACAAGGCATTTTCCTCCACACAACTGCCGCTCACTGGATATTTTCTCTTTTTCGGACTATTCTCTATAACACTAGAGATGGTTGTGTGGGAAAATCCCAGCAGATCAGCAGTTTTTGAAATACTCAGACCAGCCCGTCTGGCACCAACAACCATGCCACGTTCAAAGTCAGTTAAATACCCTTCCTTTCCCATTATGATGCTCAGTTTGAACTTAGGAAGTCGTCTTCACCACGTCTAGATGCCTAAATACATTGAGCTGCCGCCATGAAATTGGCCAATTAGAAATTTGTGTTACAGATGTAGTGATACCAATGTATGCAGTGCTTTACACATATATTGTACATTCACATCAGTCCTTGCCCTCAAGGAGCTCACAATCTAAGGTCCATAACTCACATTTATGCACACAGTACACATATTAGGGCCAATTTAGACAGAAGCCAATTAAGCTCCCAGTATGTCTTTGGATTGAAACCCACACAGGCACAGGGTGAACATGTATACTCTAGGCAGGTAATGCCTTGGTTGGGATTTGAACCACCAACCCTAGTGATGCTAGATAGAAGTTCTAACTACTCATCCACTGTGCTGCCTAACCACTTACACATCTTCCAGGGTGATAAGAAGACCACATTTACAGCTCTTATTACTACTACATCATCTATAAAGAGTTTAAGGTGGAGCCACCGATTGGTGGATGGATGGCACAGTGTGAAGAGGATCACAGATGGTCTATGAGCGTGACTTTGGCAATAGACAATTTCCTTTGTGGAGGCAGCACTGAGCACAGGAAATGTGAATTGGGACAGCACATTGGAGGGGTTTTATGAACAACACTGGACACTTTGTTCATTTCTATGTAACACTTGAGATTTGCATACTTTGTGTTTTTAATATTGTTATGTATAGAGCAAGATGTATTTTTTTTCACTATACTTTTTGATACCACAGGTGGTTTACTACAGCAGCTGAATATTGCAATGAGTATCAGAGACTTAGCGCAGGTGATAGGGTTGTATACAAGAATGAAGCTTCCAAGGACATACCATCATCTCAGAAGGCCATTTCAAGCCAGAGGCAAGAAATTCATATCTGCATTTCTTCAATTGTTCTTATCCTAGGTGGATCGGCAACATTCTGAACAGCCAGTTTTGCAGACTTTGCACCTTGCGGGAAGACTATATCATACAAAGCCAGATATTTAATAAAAGACTACGTTTCTCGGAAGAGGGTGCTCCCCTGAAGTGGGTGAAAAGTCATATCTAACTTACCTGGTTCCTCCAGTGACAGAGAAGGATTTCAATACAGAAGGGTGTAACAACACAAGGTTTTACCCCAATTTCATGACAAATTCTGTAATATGTAAAACATTCTATCTAAACATTGGTCCATCTTGTGTCAGGATCCGCATCTGGGACCAACTCTCCTTCCAAAACTCAAATTCTCCTACCATAGGGAACCCGACATTACAAGTAAAGTAGCACCCAGCAAAACTACTACGGGTACTAAACCTCCTATCAGTCGGGGTGACATGTTTGGGAACTTGATTGATGTTCTTCAGTGTAGAAAGAAAAAATGTCCAATATGCAACTTCATCACTCATGGGCAGAAGGTCTTTATTGGGGAATGGAACATCCTTTTCCATGTCATCTTTCTATGACTGTTCTTCTGGATGTGTAGTGTATTGCTTAACTTGTCTCTGCGGTCTTTTCTATGTGGGACGTTCCATCAGAACCCTGCGGGTGGGTGAGCACCGGAGGACCATTGAGCAGGATAACACTGAACATAGTGTCCCCAGACAACACAACCCCCGAGGGACGAGAGTTTGGGTCACTGTATCCAAACCAAGTACATTTACACCAGCTGAACGCTTCAAAAGATTATGAGATGGCAAAATGTAATAGATATTTACCCTGAATACATTTTCTCCAGGAGGGTTAAATGAAAAAACTGAAGTCAATACGGTTATTTATTTATTTTTTAATTTATATCCAAATTGATATCACAGTCCATTTCATGTTTTTTTTTTACTTACTTTAATAGCTTTTATAGTCTTCTTATCATGATCCATTTATTTGTTGTCATCTGGAGCAGGTGGTGGACTGACAACAGGGGATCATGGGGCCCCTGTGTCTTTGCCCACACTCAAACCACTCCCAAAAAACCCTATGAAAGGTATAAGGGGCATCTCATGGGGCGCCCTACTGACCCCGGGCCCTCAGGCAGTGCCCAAGTGTCTGAATGGTCAGTCCACCCCTGTTCTGGAGTGACTCAGACAAATTGGTTGTATATTAGCGCCATTTGTACACCTGAATATGTTTCTAAATTTGAGAGGAGGGAAGAGAAGGGAAATGAAGGGAAGAGAAGAGAAGAGAGAAGGAGAGGGGGAGAGGGAGAGAAGGGGAATGGTAGGGGGAGAGGCAGAGGAGAGAAGAGAAGCTGCCATTGAGCCACTTTGATAAATTTTCCAACCTGCCAACTCCTGTTCTCCATCTTGCTGACCCCTGTCCTCTATTCTGCCAATCCCTGTCCTCAGCTCTGCTGACCCTTGTTCTTTACCCTGCTGACCTCTGTCCTGCTGATCCCTGCACACTGCCCTTCTGACCCCCTTTCCTCTGCCATACTGATCCCTGTGCTCTGTGCTGCTGACCCCTGTACACTGACTTGCAGAGCCTTCTCTTCTACTTTGCTGATACCTGTCCTCTGCTTTTATGACCCCTGTCTTACGCACCATTGACCCCTGTATACTTCCTCACTGACCCCCCTGTCCTCTTTCCTACTGACCCCTGTCTTCTGCCCTGACAACCCCTGCTCTCCACGCAGCTGCCCCTGTCCTCTTGCCTGCTGACACATTGTACACTGCCTAGCTGACTTCCTGTTCTTTGTCCTGCTGACCCCCTGTAAACTGCCCTACTGACTCTTGTACATTCCCTGCTGACCTCTCATTCTCTGCCCTGCTGACCCCCTGTACACTGCCCTACTGACAATTGTACAGTCCCTGCTGACCTCTCATTCTCTGCCCTGCTGACCCCCTGTACACTGCCCTACTGACTCTTGTACACTTCCATGCTGACTTCTCATTCTCTGCCCTGCTGACCCCCTGTACACTGCCCTACTGACTCTTGTACACTTCCATGCTGACTTCTCACTTTCTTGCTTGCCACCTGTGTACTGCCTTGCTGACTCCGTGTCCTCTGCCCTGCTGCCCAATGTATTCTGTCCTGCTAACCCCTGTCCACTTCCCTGATAACTTACTATACACTGTCCTACAAACTGCCGACCCTGTCCACTGCTCTATGTACTTTTATACATACACTGCCATGCTTACCTTGCATCCTCAGCCCCCCTGACATTTTGTACTGCACCCCCACATCAGAAAGGCTAGATCTGGCCCTGACCATCACTATTCCCCTCCTCAATACTGGAGCCAATGTGGCAGTAAGCCTCAGGTGCAGGAACATGTGCTCCTCCTTATCCTCAGATACAACTGATGACTTCAAGCTATACTGCTCCTGGGAGATGGAGGAGGATGATGAAGACTTGGTTAGACACTCCACCACCTTCTCTTCAGTCCTGGGTTTATAACAGGCTTGCTACCAGAAAAGAAAGGTGTATGTGCCTCTAGATGCTGCATGTAGCAATCATGCACACAGAGATGGACGCGGTTCAACCATTTTGGCTTCAACCTGCATCCTTATTTGGCTTGTGGATATGAATGGTGGAATGCCAATCCTCAAGTGGTTCAACTGATTTTTAATACGTGTCAATGTACACAATCATGGGGTGTGTCTTAAGGTTTATTAACAAACCAACTGAGAGATGAGCTCAGCCTCGCCCTGTGCAGCCGAGTTGTAACCAGTTCTGCATTTCCAGATTCAGAGACTTTCATTTCATTCTCTTCTGCTGTCAGCGATGGCGTCTGCTGCTCTGAGAGCTGAGCTGGAATGTTCCGTCTGTCTGAACATTAATACCAATCCTGTGACCTTGGAATGTGGACACAACTTCTGCCAGGTCTGTACCGATCTTGTGTTGGATACACAGGAGGGGTCTGGAGGTGATTCCTGTCCTGTATGCAGAGAGAAGTTTCCGGATTGTCCTGCATTGCAGAAGAGAATTAAACTACAGAACATAGTGGACAATTTCCCATCTGCACAGCCAATTATGGAGGAGCCGGGAATCTTCTGTACTCACTGTGTGGACTATCCTGTACCTGCTGTTAGATCCTGTCTACACTGTGAGGTTTTCTCTGTGTGATAAACACCTGAGAGTCCACAAAAAGTCCCCAGAACACATCTTAACTGACCCCACCTTGTCCATGGAGAGCAGGAAATGCTCCGTCCATAAGGAAGTCTTGAAGTATTACTGCATTGAGGATGACACCTGTATCTGTGTGTCCTGCAGTTTGGCTGGAGAACATCGGGGACACCAGGTGGAGGTGCTGGAGGAGGCTTCTGAAAAGAAGAAGGAGACACTGAGGAATGTTCTGCAGAAACTTCTGACAAAGAGAGAGGAGATGGAGGAAAGAGTCCAGAGTCTGCAGGAACACCGGAGTACAGTAGAAGAAAAAGCAGCTGGTGACACAGAGGAAGTCACTGCCCTTTTTAGAGACCTCAGGAGACGTCTGGAAGACCTGGAGAAGAGAGTCCTGAGGGACATCTCCAGGAGGGCAGAGCGGGTCTCCACCTACATCCAGGAACTAGAAAACAAGAAGGAGGAGCTGTCCAGGAAGATGCGTGACATTGAGGAGCTGTGTAACATGACGGATCCACTGACTGTCCTACAGGAATCAGACACAGGTGACTTGTGTGATACTGAGGATGGAGATGATGAGGACAGAGAGAGACATGAGAAACTTCTCCATGATGTTGGGGGGCTGGATGTGGTGGGGGTCTTACACACAGGTTTATCTGATATAACAAGAGGGGTGAATTTATACTCCTATAGGCAGGAAACCGCAGACATATTATTGGATGTAAACACAGCTCATAATAACCTACAGATATCAGATGACGGGAAAACTGTGTCCAGGTCAGATAGGAACCAGAAGCGTCCAGAAACACCAGAGAGATTCAAGTGCCATCCTCAGGTGATGAGTAGTCAGAGGTTCTCCTCAGGGAGATTTAACTGGGAAGTGGATGTTGGGGGGGTCAAAATGTTGGATAGTTGGGATGTGTTACCCCAGTATAGACAGGAAAGGACATAAGTCAGGGATTGGAAAGAATAACAAATCCTGGGGTTTGGACAGGTCTAGAAACAATTATTGGATGATACATGATAGCAATGAGATCCCTTTACCTGCCAATATCTCCATTGACAGAGTCAGGATATATCTGGATTATGAGGCCGGGCGGATCTCCTTCTATGATCTGTGTGACCCGATCCGACACCTCCACACCTTCACCACCACCTTCACTGAGCCCCTCCATGCCGGGTTTAATGTATATGAAGGTTGTATAAAGATATGTGGGGGGAATTGGGAGATGTGAGAGCCCCGCCCACTGTCTGGTGACATCACAGGTATGGGCCTATTATTCAGCCAATGCTTGGAGGAAGTGTTGACTCCTGGGAGAAGTATGAGGGCTGCCACTGCAGGCCTTCTTCTGAAAATGCTAGTTACCTGGCTGTTTGTAATGTAAGAACTGCTAAAGTGGTACTAAAGACAAAATCTGACAGATATGATGCCGTCTGTCACCGACATTAACACAACAATCTTTGTTTTTCTGAGTCCTCCTGTAAATTCGTTTTTTTTACCTGTTGGTTTTGCTGTTATTTCCCAACTCCCTTTAACAGACCAATCTGTCCAGCAAAAGTGTCAGTTAGAGGGTGGGGACAAACCATTTACCACTGACAGGGGTGATCACAATGATTAGCTGTTATTCATTTATAAAAAAAATCTTTATCTGAAAAAGAAAACAAAAATGTTGGTGTAACGACTTAGAAAGTGTAATCTGAAGTTCAGTTTTAATTTGTTAGTCACTTATGTAAATTCCATCTAAATCTCATCCATCAAACACCCCCCTCTCCAGACAATGCTGCTGTCCAAGGGGGTCTCTACTGCTCCTCCATAGATACAGGAGCCACCCTAAGACAGGAAAAGTGTTACTGGCAGGATCACCAGGGGGAAATAAAGGGGAAAAAAATGAAAACTAATGCAGCCACCACATCTATGGACTGGTACACTTCAATATATACCGTATATAGTTTTTGTGTTTTGAGTTTAATAGCAGTTTAGGTCTCTTCCCCAGAACAAGCATGCTGTAAATAACAATCAGAAAAGTGTCAGAGTCCCTTCTCCCTATACTTGTTCCGGGTCAGAGACTCAGACAGTATTGAAGCCAAAACATCGATATGACAGCCAGGGAACTAGCATTCTCATAAGGAGAGTTCATCAATGACAGCCCCCCGTGGTTCTTTCATGGCAGGTGCCCTTTAAATGTCATTCATTAACTGACACGATGATAACTGCCGGGTGTGTCTGGATTCCAGGGATAGTCCCGGGATTGAGAGGTTTGTCCCTGGAAATGTTGCTGATTTTATTAACATCTTATATAGATATTTCTATTATGATTTGTATTACAGAGTAACGTCCCCTTCATGGTAATAATAATCGGTGACGGGTATTTTATTCCTCATTTTACTGTTTCTATTAATGTCGGCAGTGTTTAGTCCTGGTTACACACGTCTCCTTCATACAGGACAGAATTCTGTGAAATCCAGGGGAGTAGCTACAGGGGTCGCAGGGGTAGCCATTGTCACCCAGCCCCATTCTTCAGGGGGCCCATGCAGCCCTCTGTATGCCTGGTTAGGAAGAGAGGCAGGGATGGCTGCATTCAGAGGAACATGGAGAGATGGATTCCTCTGTATGCAGCCACCACCGCCGCTCCTTCTATCCAGCTTTTTTTGGCTGCATCCCCTGTGCCCGGAGTTCAGCTATAAAGGACAGAAGACACCCCGACATTCACCTCCTCATTGCTTTCCTAATATTTTCTTAATTTTTTCTGGGAATGTTTTCTCCTAAAGTCCCCATTTATACAGAGAAATGTTCTTGTATCATATAGTGATAGGAAGTGATGAGGATTTGGTGTTATAGGGGAACGGCCGGACCGAGGAGCTGATAGGACTAGTATTGTCCGTGTCTAAAGGGGTCCCCGGGAATCTTTATTTCCTAGAAAAGAATCCAGAAATAGATCTGCAGATGAGGGTCTGGATTGTGCTTGGCAGAAGAGCTGACAATCCACCTCAGATTTCCCCTATGATAACCCCAGAGACATCTATCATCTGTTATGGTCATCCTGCCGTCTGCCGTCCCCCAGAGGAGCCGATTAGGAATGGTCATTCTTCTATTGGTCATGTTCTAGTTCTATCACGGGAGTCATGTGATCAGATCTGCCAATCATTTTTCAGATCTTGTATGTCCCAATCATGTCTAGTAATTAGAAGTGATTGGAAGGAATCGTATTGTATTGGAAGTGATTTCTGTATAATAAATGGAGATGAAGCGTTTCTCAGATTGCGTTGTTTTGTGATCACTATGATAGGAGAAGTTCTGGAACCCAAAGAACCGTGACACCATTGTTACTGTGTATATTCAGGATGGACCCCACCACTGTACACTGCATGATCCGAGCCAGAAGAAGCCACGCCCACATCCACCAATGGGGATCAGTATAGAGGCTGATAGGGGGAGGGGCTGGAGGATGACACTCCCACACAGGGCCTTCTGCAGCTCACAGATGGACATGACCTGAAATAATGGAGGTCTACTGAGGTCTTTATTATTTCAGGAAAGAAGCTGAAAAACAAAGAAATCTAGATATGAGGATAGAAAATTGAGTGATGTGGAAGGAGGAGAGAAGAGAGAGAGAGGAGGGAGAAGAAAAGAAGGGAAAAAGAGGAGGGAGAAGAAAAGAAGGGAAAGAGAGGAGGGAGAAGAAGAGAAGGGGAAGAGAGGAGGGAGAAGAAGAGAAGGGGAAGAGAGGAGGGAGAAGAAGAGAAGGGGAAGAGAGGAGGGAGGAGGAGAGGAAAGAGGAGGAGATAAGAGGGATTGAGAGAGAAGGTGGACAGAAAACAGAGAGAGGAGAAAGAAGGAGAGTAGAGAAAGAGAAGAAAGAGGAAAGTAGAGAGAGAAGAGGAATGAGGGAGAAGAATAAAAAAAAAGAGACAGAAAGGAGAAAGGCAGAAGGAGGAGAGGAGTGGAGGGAAGAGAAGGGGAGTGGGAGTGGAAGGGGGAGAGGAGAGAAGAGAAGCTGCCATTGAGCCACGTCTTCTTCCATTCCATAATCTGGACATGGAAATTTGCCCGTAGAGGGATAAAGCTTGAGATGGAAGGGTGGGGTTGGAAGAATCAGATCAAGGTTTAAGCCTATGCTTGCCCTCACTCTGTGTGGCCCCATGTTGACCTTCTTCCCCATTGGATGAGCCATAAGGTAAACCTCTGACACCCCTTGAAGAACTTGTCCCTATCGCTGGAGGCTGCTGATAGGGATTCTCGTATAATGGTGATAGAGGTGGAAAGGGAGGAGTTAGATGCAGGAGGAGGGGTGTGGCTTTTTTCCCGCCGATGGCTAGCATGCAGGTGCAGTGATCTATGTTGTGAGAAGTCATGCGTCTCTTCATACACATGGTACACAAATGACCAATGGTATTGCTTAGCTTGATACTCTTTAGTCAGAGACTGCAAATCACTATGATGCGGTCAACAGCACATGTTTTGGAAAAGGTCCACACATCTGAGATCTGAGGAACAAACTGGAGTATAACAGTCCCCGGCACCCATGGAGCTCTTCCATTTGGTGGAATAGGACAACTACTCCCTCCACTTCTCTGACACCTGCCCTAGAAGACATCCTGCCTCACTGACGTTGTGTCTCTCCATCACTTTCCTCCGTTGCTATTTCTGGCACTCCAGTATGGTCAGAAAACTCATCATCACTATGGCCGATCTAGGGGGTTGCCAGGGTGGGCTGCACCTCCCCAAAATTTCAGATGTTCCCCCAAGACTGACCACCCCATGGACATTCTGGGGAGTGGAGGGCATTCAGCTGCAGGGAACTAAAGTGAAGAAGTGACAGCGGCAGACAGGAGACAGCCTGGAGGAGGTGCGAGTTGTGCTGTGCTCTCCCCCTCCTCCAGTCAGCAGGTGACACAGGATCTCTTATTACCTGCCCCCTACCCACATGTCTTGCTGTTGGGAGATAAGTAGTCCTTGGAGGAAATGGGGGAGGGTAATCAAACATGTGAACAGCCCAATGTAAGAGAGATCCTGTGTCACATGCAGCAAGGAGGAGCGCTGTTAGTACAGGAGCGCAGTACAGCCCGCACCTTCCTGCAGCAATCTCTGCATGTAAGCAGGGGGAGTGAGAGGGGGGTGGTGGAGGGGGTAAAAATGATATGTGCTTGGGATTAGATGTGTGTGGAGGATGGGGGAGGGCTATTTGTGCTGGGAAAAGTAATTATGGGGGGATTAGTGTCAGGAAAAGGATTGGGGGAAATGTTCTATAAGGGGGGGGGGGGATTTGTGCTAGGAGGGGGCAGGGGAATTTTGGATAAAAAGGAAAATGGGGAGATTTGATCCTCCTGTACCTAGCTCTGCTAACCACATGTCCTCCACTCTGCTGACACTATGTTCACGTCCTGCATACCCCATGTCCTCCACCCTGCTAACCCCCTGTCTTGTACCTGCTGACCACTGTCCTCTGTCCTGCTGGCCCAGTTTTCTGTCCTACTGACTTCTGCTCACTGCCCTGCCAAAGCCCTGTTCTCTGTCCCACTGATCCCTGTCCACTGCCCTGTTGATACCTGTTCTCTATCCTGCTGACCCCTGTTTCTCTATCCTGCAGACCCCTGTACACTGACCTGCAGAGCCTTCTCTTCTGCTTTGCTAATACCTGTCCTCTGCTTTTACGCACCGCTGACCCCTGTATACTTCCTTGCTGACCCCCTGTCATCTGTCCTACTGACTCCTGTCTTCTGCCCTGACAACACCTGCTCTCCACCAAACTCTCCTTGTCCTCCTACCTGCTGACACCTTGTACTCTGCCTTAC